TGTTAGTTAATGAAAATACAGTAGTTCATTGTTAGTTCATGTTAACTCATGGTGCATTGGCTAATGTTAACTGGCATGGACTTGGTGTTAATAATGCATTAGTAAATGTTCAATTATGATTAATAAATGGTGTACATGTGTTGTTCATGATTAGTTCATGTTAGTAAATGCATTAACTAATGAACCTTATTGTGAAGTGTTACCATTATTATTATTATTATTATTATTTACAAAAGAAAAAATGAGCATTGAGCTTATTAAAATTAGCAAACAGTTCAGCTTATTAAAATTAGCTATTATGAAGAAATAGAAATCAAGTTATCAAATCTCATTAATCTTTTCTTCACTGTGTGACTTGCACATTCTGATTAAAACGAACGAATCTCATTTATTTGGATTTTTTTTTTTTTGTTTGGTTACATTAAATAACAGAGGTGTCACTTTAAAAATGCACAGATCTGGAACATTAATACCGCTGTTACCAAGGTTATGCTTACTGGGAGATAGGGAACAGATGCCAAATACTACAGAAGGAGAGTTCACAGTTATAATGGTGGGGATCTCAGTGACAGCTAGAATCATCTTAAAACACTGGAAAACTCCCAAAATTCCAGAGTTAAAAAAGTGGGCCAATATAATGACTAAAACAGCCTCGTATGAACGTTTACTTTACAAATTACATAATAAGGACAAAGCAAGGGTCCCTGTATGTATCCCAGTATGGGAAGGCTTCTGGTCTTATGTGACAATGTCTTGTAATACAATTTAAAACTACTCACCAGGTTTTCCTAATAATATTGTACTTCTGTCTTAGTAACCACTGTATTCATTCTGGCTTTACATTTAGTAGGCCACAAGTGATCATTTGTAATATGTGTTTGTATTATTTTGTCATGAAACAGAAGAAAACAATAAAAAAAAACTTGAATTAAAAAAAAATGCACAGATCTAACATTACAATAAAGGCATTCGACTGCTTTCCTAACTTTTTATATGCTCATTTAGGACAAAATTAATTGTGTTTGGAAAAAAACCCCACCAAAATTGACATCTTTAGATGATATGTATTATTTTAATGTCTATTGCCACCCTTTAGAGAAAGACTGAAAATATGGGAGAAATATGGGAAAACTCCTCTACGGGATGAAAGAACTGGAAAATCCTGGGAAAAACGGGAGGGTTGACAGGTATAGCACAGTGTGTAAGCAAGTATTTTACTGTACTTAAAAAAATAAATACTCCAAAATGTCTCTGTCAGTGTTTCAAACTATTATATCTGATTTACTAAAGTCACACAAGTGTCAGTTTCACATCTGTCACATCCATAACAAAGAGCTGTCACATCCATAACCGAGAGCTGTCACATCCATTACCAAGCTTTTCTCTCATGAATGCAAAAATGTGGAATAACACAAAATCAATAATTTTTGGTTCTATAGTGAGCAACTTTAGATTAGCATTATTTTTTTGGGTTTGTGCAGTTCAATTCACAGAATTTCTACAAAGTATGTTGTTGACAGTAAACTTGCAGACCTTTTCTGCTTGCATCCATTACGCGTTATTTCCCTCATTTAAAATGCAAAAAATGTTTACAGATACATTTGTAATATAATAATAAATAATAATTTAGGGTGGACAGTATGCACATTGAGGTGCAGGCACCCTTATAAGTTACTTCAAAAACTAGCCATTACTTCACTTAGCCGACGACAAGTTTCTAGCACCGCAGCGTCTTGTTGTCATATTTAATTGACATTTTTGCTGATTTTATTGAACAAAACTAGCAGAAGTCTAGTATTACGTGTGAGTTGTTGCTACTTTGCCTTATGATCAATGCAGTAAGTGACTGTATTATCATTAATAACGTTACTTGTTAAGCACAAAAACTTACAGATAAAGTCTTACCCATGTAATGTGATGCCTTTGTGCTTTGTTGTCTTTGCTTGCTCATTACTACACCCATACGCAGCACAAAACTTCTGCATCTTCACATTGGTTTTGGTCTTGACTAAGTGCAGTTGAATGATTTTTACCCTGTACAAACATGGCAGGGCTATTGATGCATGCTCAGGGGCTGTACAGTATGCGATATCTAGTGTATATATCTATGCAGAATAATTAGCAAAACATTTATTACAGGCAGAGTTCACCTAAAAATAACTTTATTAATTATTGACTCATCCTTGTGTCATTTTAATCTGTTTCTTTAAAGAAAGAAGTGCATGAGGATGTGTAAATAATGATGACACCTTTTCCACGACACCAATCCTGTCCTTGACTTTCTTGAGTAAATAATTGATAAAACTGTTCATCATCATGTCAGACTGAGTAGATTATTGACTCTTGATGGTTGTTTCTGCTGTTGTTTCTGTTTTAGGCCAGACGGGGTACTTGCTGAAGTCTTTATGCTGCTGCAGTGTGACCTTCCTCTTCTTCCACATCATCTATCAAATCACCGTCCACAGTTTGCTGGCAAGAGGAAGAGTCGATTCTGGATTCAACTGTAAGTTTTATCGATATATATAGCAGTGTACCTTTTTAAGGTCATGCTTCCTAACGTAGGGACATTTCATTTTTGTTTTGTTTTGTTTTGTTTTTTGTGTTGTGTTGTGTTGTGTTGTGTTTTGTGTGTTGTTTTGTGTGTTGTGTTTTTTGTTTTGTTTTGTTTTTTGTGTTGTGTTGTTTTGTGTTTTGTTTTTAGTTTTTTGTTTTTAGTTTTTTTAGTTTTTAGTTTTTTTTTGTTTAGTTTTGTGTTGTGTTGTGTTGTTTTGTGTTTTGTTTTTTTTTTTGTTTTTTGTTTTTTTGTTTTTTGTTTTGTTTTGTGTTGTGTTGTGTTTTTTGTTTTGTTTTTTGTTTTCTTTTGTTTTTTGTTTTGTGTTTGTTGTGTTGTGTTTTGTTTTTTGTTTTGTGTTTTGTTTTTTGTGTTTTGTTTTTGTTTTTGTTTTTTGTTTTGTTTTGTTTTTGTTTTGTTTTGTTTTGTTTTTTGTGTTGTGTTGTGTTTTGTTTTTTGTTTTTTTTGTTTTGTTTTTTGTGTTGTGTTTTTTGTTTTGTGTTGTGTTGTTTTGTGTTTTGTTTTTAGTTTTTTGTTTT